TCACTATATGTATTAACTTTGACATTCGTGTTAGCTTTTACTATATGTATATTGTTTTGATATTCATGTTAGCTTTTACTATATGTATATTGTTTTGATATTCATGTTAGCTTTTACTATATGTATATTGTTTTGATATTCATGTTAGCTTTTACTATATGTATATTGTTTTGATATTCATGTTAGCTTTTATTATATATATATATATTGTTTTAATATTCGTTTTATCTTTTACTATATGTATTGTTCAATATTAATGTTACATTTTACCATTTGTATTATTTTGATATTCGTGTTAACTTTCACCACATGTATTACTTTGATATTTGTGTTAACTTTCACCACATGTACTACTTTGATATTTGTGTTAACTTTCATCACATGTATTACTTTGATATTTGTGTTAACTTTCACCACATGTATTACTTTGATATTTGTGTTAACTTTCACTATCTGTAATGTTTTGATGTACGTGTTAATTTTCATTACATATACTAATTTATTATTCGTGTTAACTTTCACTTGATATGTTATTTTGATATTCATGTGGACTTTCACTATTTGTATTATTTGATATTCATGTTGAATTGCATTGTATGTAATATTTTAACATTTATGCTAACGTTCAGTATATGTTTTATTTGATGCTTCTGGTAATTTTCACATGTGTGTCTGTCTTTTGAGATTGTTATCTACATCCACATTTTATATATGCACCATATGTATGCAGAGGAACTCCACCTACCTGGACGACGACCGTAAAAGATGCTGACAACATCTTGATCTCCAAAGTCAATATGCTCTCCATATTGATCGTAAATATGTAAAACCTCTCGAGTAAAATTATGTTGTCGTAGCCGTGTTAGATTCATCAACCAGATTCCCCCATTTACTCCTAAAAAAAGTCAAGAGACGTAAATACGTTCATTCTAAGCTTAGAACATAAACTAAATGTTATATATATATATATATAGATATTATTTCACGTCAAGTATTCATAATTTCGGTATATATATATATATAAGAACATGCTATCATAATTTACAGTGTACTAGCCAACAAAAGTCATGAAGGTTTTTGTAAATAATGATATTATATTTAACCACTATAGAGATTATTGAACGAGTAATGTCAAGTGTCTAAACGCTGCTGGATACGTGTGAAAAAAATTGTTCTTGATATTTGTAACGTAGACATTTATGGAAAGAGTCATGTCCATCTAATATACAGTGTTTGATTTGAATGAAAACAATTGTTCTTAATAATTATAACGTAAAGATTTTTCTAAGGAGTCATGTCAAGTTGCTATACAGTGTTTGATTTGAATGAAAAACAGTTGTTTATAATAATCTTAATGTAGAGATTTATTGAAGGAGTCATGTCAAGTTGCTATATAGTGTTTGATTTGAATGAAAAACAGTTGTTTATAATAATCTTAATGTAGAGATTTATTGAAGGAGTCATGTCAAGCTGCTATATAGTGTTTGAGTTGAATGAAAACAATTGATCTTAACATTCGTAATGTAGTGATCTATCGAAGAAGTCATATAAAGTTTCTAGGAAGTGTTTGATTCGCATGAAAACGTTTGTTCGTAATCATATAGGATTCCATCGAACAAGTCACTTCAATGTCTAAGTAGTGTTGGATCATGCAGGGGTGAAATTCTGCTGGGACTAACCAATACTGAGTACCGGAAGTTATTTTTTAAGACGGTACTAGTATCGGGACTTATTTGGGCTTCTTTGTTGGTTTTGTGTTTTTCTTTTTCAAAAATAGGTCCACTTCACTCAGTTGAGTACCTCTAGTATTTTCTTGAGAATTTCACCCCGGATGTATACATTTACGAAAATTGATAATCAGGAATTCACTGCAATTGTTTCATAATAGAGTAATTTTACTGTGTATTTTGAATGCAGTGGGCAGTTTGAAGTGTATAGATAACTTTGTTTCGTGCCAAAATATGATACTTCATCTAATAAACTTCCCCTTGTTTTCAAATACATCATATATTTCTACTAACAATACACAGGTATAACAACGTTGATCCTGATAACATGACACTTACATTTGTGTTAAGGTATAATGACGATTTTCAGTTGATGTTATTCATTGAATGCTGATGTGATAGTATAACAGCATCATTATGATAACAAGTAATTTATTCGTGCAGTATATTAAAAATAAGGTACCTTTATCCTCGTATATCTTGAACGCAGACACGTGGTTTGGATACCAACCAAGGGAAGCAGATGGTGTCTCCTCAGAAAGACCCATCAAGTGAAATGGCCTCATTTGGTACAGGTGAGCCCAAAACCCCTTTGGTGACCTGAGAAACAAAACATCTGTGTCTAACACTAGCACAGCATCTAGCTCGGTAAGGAGGTCCTGTAATTGCATATTAAAAGGCTATAGTGCATGTTTCATACTTGCTATATTTTAATTAAAACAAAATATTTTATTAATTAAATTGATATTAAAAATATGATTAATTCAAAAATTCTTTCATACATGAAATCTATATTACTAAAATTTCTTATTAAGACTCTTGTCAAATTTTGAACTACAAGCAAAGCAGAAATTTTCGACATATTTGTTACGTTTTCGTTCTTCGTCATGTTAACTTGCATTCCCTGATATTTTTTGTCCTTTTATGACAAAATATTCAATGTAAGCCTTCATGAAATCTGTAATCTGTTTTAAGTTTTGAATATTATATAATACCTTATGTGTTAAAGATGTGCTTTAGTGATAGAAAATTGCAATTTTATAACCAAATATCTTTTTTTTTTGGTGCATAGTTAGTTTCGAGATATATAATTAAATTTTTCAACGACTGTTTAAAATATTATAAAGTATATAAGCTAATTATATCATTAAAATACAAATGTCTTTCAACATATATTACAATTACAAATATTTTAGTATGTGTCATTAAAATGTATTTATAACCCCTTTTATTAGTTTTAATGTGGTTGACGTATGAAAGATATTTACCGGAAGGAACAATTTTAGAGTGGAGCACGGTCTGTAGAGTAGCTTCCAGCTGGACTCATTCGCACTGGCGGGATAGCTGGCCAACCGGAAAGTATAGGAAATATTTGGTTGCAACCTTTGCCAAATTTTGAGCTGTAAGAAATATACTTATTTACTGGGCCTAAGACTATAATGCTTTAATTAATGATATAGGTGATCTTTATGTATTTCGTAAATATTACACTTAAAACATCCTTTCAACATTGGCCTACAATGGATTATAACATATTGCATCAGGGTAATTGTACATCTTACTCCAAAAGTTTAACATGATGATGAGAGTAATATTCAGAGATTACTAGTTACGGAATTTCTCCGGATCTGAAATCCGGAATCTGTTTTGGAGAGTTTTAAAACATAAAGGAGAAGGCATTGAAATTTAAAATAACGTATTTTTCGGAATATAAGACGCACCCTTATTTTGAAGACAAAGTT